TTACAGAGGGGTTACAATTACATGGCAAGGTAATGAGTACATTTCTTATCAAGCATTGTAGCCTCCTCCTTTGTTTCCCCTTCCCTCCCCTTCCCATCTCCACCCCCCCACTCCTGCCAAGGTTGTAAAGTTTGTTTTTTGACATAACATCTCATTGTTGCAATGGTTCCACCTGTATCCCTATTAAAACAATTTGTTTTTTCCCTTCCCCTCCACAAATTATACCAATATCAAATACAGTGGAAACAGGAGTTATACCGTGGGAGAGGGACATACAAAGCAACAAAGAAATATCTTATAAATAATTTAGAAACAATAGCAAGAAAGAAAAAACATTTGAGTCTTTATCTTGGGGTTCATTTCACCTAACATCAACTTATCTGACCGTTTCTGCTTGTCTCAGACATATACTAGTTATTGCAAATAAGGGAAACCATGGACCTAAGTTTCTTTGGTCCTGGCTTACTTCACTTAGATGGATTTTTGACAGGAGCAAGGCAGCATCCTCTTGTAATAGGAGGAAATAAGGATTAATGAAGATGAAAGTGGTTTTCTGGATCCAGCAATGGAAAGATTAGCTTTTCTTATTAAAAGTGAGTCAGCCATGGTATTCACTAGAGAGAATAAGATATAAAATAAGATTCTAATTGTTCATGCAAGAAATTAAGAGCCTAGAAAGCTAAAGTCCTTATTATTTACTATTAACAAGCAATGGAGATAATTACAGGGTAACAAGGGAGAAAACTTATAAAATGACAGCATCAGTGAACTTCCTTGTTTATATAACAATAGCTACTAAAAATCCATACAAAGAGATACATGCAAAGACATTAAAGATAAATAACTACTGAATTCTTCAAACTACTCAAGTAAGAGAGAGAAAAGTAGAAAAATGAAAACAACCCCTCTTTATGGTATTTTCACAATTAAAAAAATAAAAAAGAAAACAAATGGATGAAGAATAAACCAAAACAGAAAGTAAAGTGGCACAATTAGATCTTAACATATCAAAAATTACTTTAAACACAAATATTTGAGTCAAAATCCAACTGGAAGAGTAGATAAAGAGATGAATTAACTATTTTTACTGTCTATAAGAAACTCACTTCAAGTATAACAACACAGGTAGGTCGAAGTAAAAGAATGAAGGAAAGGCATTTTATACCAGCATTCATCACAAGAGAATAATACCTATCCTAGAAAAATCAGTTTTCAGAGTAAAGAAAATGACAAGAAATAGAGTGGGATATTTCATAAACAATTTACCAAGACACAGAAATCCTAAATACATATGCATAGAATAACAGAGCTGTAACAACTGCTGGAATAGAGAGGTGAAAAGAAATAGAAATCCACAACTAATTTGAGACTTCAAAAACACTCTCTAAACAATTGATAGAGTTAACTACACAGAAATTCAGAAAACACCAACGACAGCAAAAGGATATAATTAAACTTTATGTAATGTTTCCCCTACCACAGTGGAATTCACATTATTTCAGGTACTCATAAAATACATGCCAATACGGATCACATCTTGGGCCATAAAATTAACTCATCAAGTTTAAATGAATTGAAATTACACAGGGAATATTCTCTTACTATGCACAAAACTAAACTAGAAACCAATAAAAGTGAGATTAAAGTAGATCTCTGAACAATATACTTCAAAATAATCCACAAGTCAAAGAAGTCTCATTGAACTGAATGTCAATGAAAAGATACCATATTGAGATTTGTGGGGCAAAGGAAAGTGAAATATAGTACTAAATGCTTACATTATAAATGAGGGCAAGTCTTAAATCATTAATCTAAGTTTCCTCAATAAATTAGAAAAAGGAAAACATGTACCCAATAAAATAGAAAAAAATGAGCAAAAGATGTACTTGAAGCAAGCATTATAAGGGAAATAACAAATATTCTGAGGAAAATAATAAAAACAAATCAAAGAAACTGAAAATGGAGAAACTAAATGGAGAATATTAATGAACAAAACAAAAAGATAGTTCAAAAATGGATAAATCTCTAGTAGGGTTGACAAAATGAAATGAAAATGATGAGAATAAGGAACGAAACAGGGGCTGTTACTATTAGTGCTGCATACATCAGAAGGACAATAAAGGATACTACTGTACATATAAACATGAGAACCTAAATGATATGGGTAGAATACTTACTTTGCAAGTGCATATTACTACAACTTACTCAGTTTGAAATAGATAATCAGAGTAGCACTCTGACTATTAAGGAAAACAGAATTCATAACCAGGCCCATATGGTTTCACTGGAGAATTCTACCAAGGAAGATTAACATCAATTTTTGCACAACCTCTTTAGGCAAATAGATGAGCATAGAATACGTTCTAATTCTTTTTTTGTTCTATCTCTCTCTCTCTCTCTTTTTTTATGGGTACTGGGGCTTAAACTCTTGACACTAAGCTTGTTTTTTCTTTTTCTTACCACTGATACTCTACCATTTGAGCCACACCTCTACTTCTGGTCTTTTGCTAGTTGATTGGAGATAAAGAGTATTGAGGATATGTCTATACAGGCTGGCTTCCAATTGCAGTTCTCAATGTTGTAAGCCACTGGTATCAGCCTGATTCCCTTTTATTTTCATGAGTTTGCATTTAATATGTTAAATATATGTTTAAATAACCTACTTATGAATGAATCTGAGGGAAATGAAGCTCATAAATACCATGAAAATTTCTCTTTGTAACTGATTCCTTTTTTAAGGCTAAGATTATCCTGATACAAAAGCTGAACTGATACAGGACAAAAGAGAAAACTACAGGCCAGGATCCCTCATGGACACAAAAAGAAATGAACAGCACAACTGGAGTTCTCTTACATTGTTGGTGTTAGTATCAACTGGCAAAAACTATTTCAGAAAATAGTTTAAGATCATCTACTCTGCTTATGCCTGGAAACATCATTTAAGATAAATTTCCAATCATTTCACACCACCACAGAAATGAGCATGTATGTGGAAAAATCTTACTTTGGTTTGAAGGAGAAAAATGTTATATAATAATCTTTTTTAAAAGTAGGGAAAGGGCTGGGAAGGTGGCTCAGTGGTAGAGTGCTTGCCTCGCATGCATGAGGCCCTGGGTTCAATTCCTCAGCACCATATAAGCAGAAAAAGCCAGAAGTGGCATTGTGGCTCTAGTGATAGAGCACTAGCCTTGAGCTGAAGAGCTGAGGGACAGTGCCCAGACCCGGAGTTCAAGCCCCACGACTGACAAAAAAAAAAAAGGAAATTATGATTTTATAATCAGGCCAGGGCACAATTATTTGCCAAAGAAGGACCCTTTAATAGAATTAGTATTGAAGAATTAAGCTACTATACTCAAAACCACTGTTTGGACTCTTAATTTTGAAACAAGGATTACAGCATAAACATCATTAATTCTGTCAGTTCCTTTTGTTGCAAAAATAAGAGATACACACATAGAGATTAAGTGTGAGAGTAAAGGACCTGAACTGTATATTCCCAATTTGTAATGGCTACAGATTTGAAGGGAGTAACTAATAAAGCAAACAATCAACTGAAAGTCCTTATTGCTTTAGAGAATGTGTGTAGTACATTATCGATAATGAACCTTTTAGATTGAGTTGTTATTGGAAGTAGCTCATGAAGACATGTTTGCTGAATGAAATAGTCTGTAAATCCTTTTTCTAATATATCACTCATATTTGACACAATTAAATCTAGCAGTGTAACTATCTGAGCCTCTCAATAGTATAAAACACAGAGAAATTATTCACTTTTCATCATATAAACGAGGAAATAAAACCAGAAGGGAAGTTGTTTTACCTTTCTGTGCTTGCTGAGTCGTGGGTATCTAACTTCCTGATAAGGATGTTTAGAAACAAAAGAACTGAAAACCCTCTGGGTTTTCTCACCTTTGTTTCTCTCACAAGGAGAGGACCCCTTCTGTGACCCCACTACCATGTTCTGCTAACCCACATCTCCTGAAAAATTTCCTTTAGCTTTTATTTCACCTCTGCTCACCCCTCAACAATCATTTGTATTTGCATGTCTAGAGAGAAAATAACCTATGCAGCATATCATGATACCTTTGTATTAAGTTTACAATTCCAAAATCAGATAAGCGTAATATGTATTTTGAATCATTTGTAAAATGACACCCCAACCCCCTCTGTTTTGTCTTTCTACTTACTCTGTTTATCTAAATTTGAAAAATATAATACAGAGGATGAGAAAAAAGGAAAGAGAAATGTAGGATAATCTGTCTTTCGTGTTTTAAAACAAAAACCTTTCCTGAAATGTAGAAGGGAGAGAGTGATGAATGTTAAGTGCATATTTTTCCACCTTAACTGACTGATCAGAAGAGTATTTATAACCCATGACTGATGTCTGGAGATGATAAATCAATACAAGGGAGAATATTTCAAGCACATTTATCATTTAGGACAAACAGCTCTGACTAAGCATGATTATTTTTTATTCATCATTTTAGCTCACCTCTACATTTTATCCTTCTTAGTGTTAATGATATCTGTATAAAGCTTCTCAATATTTAATGCTACAGCTTGCCTACTGCATGCTGATGAGGTTAAGGTCATGTTTGATTTCTAAAGGCCATTTTGTAAGCCAGTGAGTGAGCGAGCAAGTGAGCAGGAGAGTAAGAGAGAGAGCAGGAGAGAGAGAGAAAAAAAGAGAGAAAGATGGAGAAAGAGTATCTCTATTTACCAAGGAAGCCTCATCTTAGTGATCCTAGTTAGCTTCCTTGTAAATACCATTGTTGATCTCCATGTCATTAAAAATAATCACAGACTTATAGCTTTAAGGGAAACAGTAGGATATATCAATGTACAGGTCCAACTTTATAGAAAAATCAATTAGAAGAACCAAGTCTTGTTTCATAGGACAACACAATTGGAAGAGTCCACCAGCCATACCCAGTCCTGTCCAACAAGTCAATGGGATCTGCGCCTCATGCAAAGGAGAGCCAGATGTAAGAAAATCTTACCTGTTCACTCTCTTCTTCATCACTACTTAGCTTAAGATCATCTTCTAGCATACTAAAAGAAGGAAAAGAAAGGTACATATATAGTTAGCAGATTCAAAATAATTCCACTTCAAAAATAACCACTTTTTTTTTGGTCGGTCATGGGGCTTGAACTCTGGGCTTGGGCACTGTCCCTGCACTTTTCAGCTCAAGGCGAGTGCTCTACTGCTTGAGCCACAGTGCCACTTCGGGTTTTCTAGTGGTTTATTGGAGATAAGAGTCACACGGACTTTGCTGCCTGGTCTGGCTTTGAACAGCGATCCCCAGATCTCAGCCTCCTGAGTAGCTAGGATTATAGACATGAGCCACCGGCGCCCAGCTCAAAGTAACCACTTTTATAGCAGCAACATTTCAATAATAAGTTTATTTGATTTCCTATTTTTTTCTTTCCCTTTTAGGTGTTTTTCCTTTAATGTACTTAGAAAACAGCAGATGTTTGGATCATGAAAATTAATGCTCAGTACCATCTTAGGATGCAATAGGGAACCTCCAGAACATGCTTTTATAGATTGGAGGAGGGTCTTTTCAGTGGGACATTTTAATCAATTAATTGTTTCAAGTTTTCCATGTCCCAGAGCCTGTCTAGGGGAAAGTCATAGCAAAGAAAGTAACGGGACAAGCAGAACTCTTCTGAGAATCATGAAGTGAGGATAAGCTGTGAGCAATGATAGCTGCTTGGTTTCATCAGTGTAAGGGCTGGAGAGGGCTTTTGCCTGAAGACCGGCTGAGTGGAGCCCACCTACGAGACTAGGAGGGTAGGTCTGAAGTTACTAAGGCCCACTCTCCACCCACCATGAAGTTTCTTGGATAAGTCCTGACAGAGACAGTGAGTTCACAAAAGCTAAGAGTAAAACAAAGAAAGGCTTCAGATCTTACAACTTCTGATGAGGAAAACTGTTGAGTACTTCTTCATAGAACAGCACATTAAACGAAATCTAGTGCAGAGGTATATTCTATAAAAATATTCCATACCAGCCATACTGCTAGGAGAAGCAGGGGTAGGTCTACTTTGCATGGCCTTCTGCTCCCGACATGAATCTGAAGGCTGCTGAGACCTTGTGCTTAAAAATCTCATTATCCACCTCACAGTTAGCTTCCAAGGCCTATCCTTAGTAGATGCCTCAGAGTATTTTGTGGTTCAAGTGGCTTTTGGGGTTAACTGGGGGTAATGAGCGAGTAGGGCTGAGCAGAGACCTAGAAGCACGTTACTTAGCACCCAACCTGCCTGCCCTATCCTCATTTCCCTAGTTGTTAAGTGAAAGTCTTACTGGACAGCCTTGAAGGGCTAATCCTGCTTTAAATTCTGCAAGTCCACAAAATAAATTTTCTCCTCTCCTCTTCTGCTTGTGGCTGACAATACAACGAAGACATTCCTAAGTCATTCTTGGCTTGCAACTGAAGCCATTACCATTAGGACACTAAGTCTGCTTCCTCATAGGGTATTACTATCCTTTCAGTATGGATAAGTATCGTATGCTTTATTCTTTAAACCCCAAGAAAACACTGGCAGCAGCAGCAGCAGCAGCAGCAGAAACTGCAGAGCCTTGACTCCATCACTCTGCACATCTGGCAGGTCATTCATTTCCTTCACCTCACAAGCATACACACTGGCTTCAAACAGAAGAAACATTTTGGTGATTTATTAGAGCACTGTTTGATATAACACAGGGGAGAAGGCTGGGTTTTCTTTGCCCTTGAGTGCTGAGTGACAAGCACAGTGACAGCACTAAGGACAATGCCAGGTTGTTGGCTGGGCTGAGGTATACCTTTCTGATAACAAAAGATCAGAGAAGGAGACAATTTCCTTCCTCCATTCTTCATGCCCTTTTAAAGGTAGTCTATCACTGCAATTGTTTTAATCTCAAGGATGTCCAGAAAGTACTGAGTGTTCTCAGTGTGAGTGGTCTAGAGTAGGGGAGGGGAGGGAGAAGGACACACACACACACACACACACACACACACACACACACACACACACACACTCACCTCAAACAACCCCTATAGTCAGAAGGAAATTCTGTCAAGGATGATGGGGAATTTTAGTCTTTACATGGATATAGCATATACAGACTTCAAATTGAAGACCACTGTTAGACACAGCAAGAAACTCCAACACATCTTAAGGTAAATGTGCTACTACAGCTTGAATGTTCAATGTGTCTCTCCAAAGTTCATTTTTTTTGGGAATCGCTAAAGTCATATGTTGATGATATTAGGAGACGAGAATCTTTTTGAGGTGATCGTTAGCCAATGGATCCAAGGGGGTGGGACCCATGATAGAGACAATAGCTTTCATGTTTGCTTGGTCTTACTATGATGCAGCTGGAGGCTCTCACCAAATGCCAGAATCATGCTCTTGGATTTCCCAGCTTTCAGAAGCATGAGCTAAACTAACCGGTTTGAATCTCATAGTCCTCCTCTCATCCCCAGATTTTGGACATTTGTCATTTCTATAATTGGACTCATTTACCTTTATTAGAAGAGAAGGAGCTAGGAATCTACCTTGCTTTATGAATAATTATTACTCTTCATTGAAGTGTCATGTTAAAAATGAATTTATGTTATTTCTGGCAGAGTTCTAAAAATAAAAGATCCTATGTACATATTCTGATGTATATATTCTGATATATTCTTGTACTTTATAAAAGTTTTTTTTTTAGTTCACTGTTTTGGAAGTTGAAACGTTTCCAAGTAACTTTGCAGGTGTAAAGACCACAGGCTGGATTGCATGTGAGAGCTGGGGTTTGGCTTCAGCTCAGAGACAAAGCTGCAGCTAATCATCTCTGCTCTTAGGAACATTTATTGTTGGAGAAATAGTGAAAACAGAATAGTTTCTAGCAAAGAGGAAGGATACCCTGGGGCAAATGGGACAGTTAGGAACAGTGGTAGTGTGAGTACTCTCAGTGCCGGCAATGAATTGAGCTTTCTTAGGGAAAAATGAACTAGGTTTAAGACAGACATTACAACTCTTATTGTCTTTCAGAAAAAAATGTAATCCTAGGATTATTATTACCCAAATATGAAATGACAGACGTGGAATAGACAGTTACAGCCATATTGCATTCCACTCTCCTGAGTAGGTATACAATGTGAACATAAATGTCATACATAGATACATGCCAGAATAATTGAGGTTCAATCTCTGATGCCACCTAGAAAGAACCTCAGCTCCTCTGGGCTCTGATGGTTACCAGTAGATCCTTTTCCCTCAGCTTGTGAAGTTCAACATTTATTCCCTTTTACTACACTCAAGCCATGGCCTTCACACAGCCTCCAATTCTTAATGCTAAATATTTCAGAGTAGTCTCTTAGAGAATCCAAAGAGGACCCAATGTTTGACATCATAGAGGAACAATGAAACATAGTCATAGAAGAGAAAAAGTATGACACCCATAAGACCCCAAGACATGTGTCCACCTGGTGTATATGATTGTAGATTATGGCCAGTTCAATGTGAACACAAGTGTCACTCTGGTAGTTGAGGCCTTGATTCACTCTCAATCCCTGAAGAACATTTTTTATTTGAATATTTTTATTAACCAACTGGCCAGCAAATGAAGAAGTAGCAATAATTAATAACAAAAGGATGACAATTGGAAATAATTCGTCATCAATAAGTGAACCATATATAGTCACCTATTTTTAATATAAAATTAAGAAACGCTATAGGTGTGCAAATTATCTTTCATAATCTTATTTAAGGAAAACATAAAGTCAATTTAGAAAGTAATCAAACATCGATTGTGAAAGACATGTTGATGTTATATTTATTGCCCTTAAAACAGTACAGAGGGGTTACAGTTACATAAGTAAGGTAGTAAGTACATTTCTTGTCAAACTTGTTACCCCTTCCCTCATTTTTCTCCTACTTTCCCTCCCCTCACACCCCACCCCCAAGTTGCACAGATTATTTCCAGATTATTCCACAGATTATGCCTTGGGAATATCGCTGCTGCATTGGTTCCCCCTTGTCCTTTGTCTCACCATTCTGTTGTTCCCCTTCCCTTCCCTAATTCAAATTAATGTATATACCAAAATCAAATACAGTGACATAGGAGGAAGAATATACAAAAGAAACAAAAAATATCACATAGTACATTAAAAACAACAACAATGAAGAAAAACCTTTTGTGTCCTTGCCTTGGCGTTCATTTCATTTAGTGTCATCTTATATGGTCATATGTACGTAGCTATTGAGCTGTTCTGCTCATCTGCTAGGATTATCCTAGATGTATACTAATTATTACAAATAAGAGAAACTATGGGACCAATGTTTCTTTGGGTCTGGCTTACTTCATTTAATATGATTTTTTTTTTTTTTTGGTCAGTCGTGGGGCTTGAACTCTGGGCCTGGGAGCTGTCCCTCAGCTGTTCGGCTCAAGGCTCCACAGAGACACTTCCAGTTTTCTAGTGGTTTATTGGAGATAAGAGTCTCACAGACTTTCCTGCTAGGGCTGGCTTTGAACCGTGATCCTCAGATCTCAGCCTCCTGAGTAGCTAGGATTACAGGCGTGAGCCACTGGAGCCCGGCTTAATGATTTTTTTCCAAGACTTTCCATTTCCTTACAAATGGAGCAGTGTCATTCTTTCTGATGGAGGAATAGAATTGTATATATGAATGGATCAAGAAAATGTGGTATATGTGTGTGTGTGTGAACATTTTTATCATTTGTGTAATCCCAAAAGCAGACAGATTGGCCCGGATATATTAAATAACAAACAAAACATTAAGTCAGGAATAAAGAGAAATCGCAAACTGAGTGTTGGCTAGACCCCTGGCAGTGGTATGGATCTCCAATTGTGTGTTTGAAAAAGGAAGACAAAGATTAAGGTTGTACAGTGTAAAGCACAGAGTAGGTCATTTGCATGTAAGTACAGAGCCTGGGCTTTGGCATCATACTTGGCTCAAATGGGGATACACACAGCCCTATATTCTTAGCACCTCCAGGCCTTCCTCCACTCATGATATCTACCCACCCAGAGCTCCTCCTTAGTGTTCCCTGACCCTCTTTC